CAGCTATTATTTGATACTACGCATTAGTACATTTCGAGATTCTATTAAACGTGTTTTCCTAAAAATGTAGTCTCTAGAAAACAATTTTTTTCAATGACATAAAATATAAATTTCATTCCACGTTATTATTTGTCATGTTATTTCAAATAAATGAAATAATACATTTTCGATGCATTATTTCGTTTACATTTTCCATTTTCCGGGATGTGTCACCAATTCGAAGACCGCTTGCACATTAATTCCTATTTTAAATAAAATACTCACCATTATATTTCATGTCTCAATTTTATTATCTCTTCTCTGAGATTTTAATTAATTATGTCCGGCATGACGGATGTTTGAGAAATTAAATAAATATCGATCATTCTCCATTCCCGGGAACGAGCAAATTCAGTCGGGAAGCTGAATGAAGGATTCGATTAATCATGACCGCAAAGATAAACTTTTTTCATTTTTTAAACGCAGGTGTGCTTAAGTAACAAGCACATTTTGATTTATCTGAAAAGTTCACGAATGTTGCAACATAGTACTTAGACTTATATTTATTGTCTTATTATTTAACTTATAATATTTATCTTTTACGTATGTATTTATATATTTAAATATATATTATTTAAATAGATGATTATATTTATGTTTAATTTAAATTATATAATATATATAAATTATCCAAATATTATAATAAATATAAATATAAATATAAAAATAAATATAAGTAAATATATATATAATAATAATGTACATAATTTAAATATATTTATATATTATATTTACTTATATATTTACATATTTAACTTTTATAAATTAAATTATAATTCAACTTATAAAAGCAAAGCACAATAATTATAGCTTATACGAAATAAAACGGTATACCCTCAGATTGTTACTACTAAATTTGTACAAATGTCGGGATGGTCACACTGACCCTACCTTGAAAACCAATTATCTATTTTTCTTACCGAAGCCTGCAGGCTAATCGGCTGATTGCACCTCCCCCGATATGCAGCTGATAATTATTATCAGCATCTTTGTAGCCTGCTCACAGAGACGTTTATTTGACAAAGCCCGGTCGAAGTTAGGAATGGCAAGCAGCCCGGCATTGCTTCTGAACTAAAAGTACCATTGTTCTTGAAGGATGCCTTTTACGAAGAGTGGCGTGTTTGACCGCACACCACTTAGCCCAGAATCTCCGCGAAGCGTGGTTCTTTCATGGACCTCTCAGGCCGGATGAAAATATCCGACGGACGCTGCGCGAAAAACCAAGTGCGTCCGTTCCTGAAGAACCCTGCGGTGCGCCCCGTGACGAAAAAATTTTTAATATCCAACGCCCGGGGATTGTTCCGTGCAGTCGCGGACGTGATGTTCCCAGGTCGCAAAATGGGCCATGAAGTAATCATGTTTGCGGTTTTCGGGACAACGACTTTGATTTATGACCGGGCTAGGACTCGAAACCACCGAACTGCTAAAGATAGATGAATTCTAGGCGTAAATGGCGAAGTTAGCGTACACCAGCGGAAATAGATTTCAAATTTTACCGTACGTGCAAATAATAAGTTAATCCTTAAATGCACGACCTTTTTGTTATCAATTTCTATTTATCAAACTTTATTTTTAAAAAATGGCAAAAAGGCAAAAATTATATCTTTAGGAAAATAGTTTTTTTATTAGAAAATTATTGGATGCAGCGAATCGGCTACAAAACAAAATATTCTTCTAGATACACTATACACAGGGTGTCCCAAAATTATGGTACTCCCAGGAAATAAGAGGTTCCTCAGGTTATTTGAAGTAACTTTTTCCTTAGCGAAATTGCAATCCGCGGCTTCGTTTACGAGTTATTAACGAAAAACAGTGACCAATGAGAGGCGAGCTTGGTTGGCACGCGGCGGCCGAGCGGTCGCCTAGCGCCTAGCGCCGAGCGAACTCGCCCCTCATTGGTCAGCGTTTTACATGAATAATTCGTTAACGATGCCACGGAGAAAATTTTTGTAAAGGAAAAAGTTGCTTCGAATCACCTCAGGAATCCCTCATCTCTCGGAAATACCATAATTTTGGGACATTCTGTATATTGTCAAACGGCAACACGATACATTTAAGAGTTAAGATAAATTATTTCTTCCGAATTCACCTGATTTGGATGTTAACGTATTTTCTTGAATATTTGTGATTAACATTCGAATACTTGCAACTTAATTTTATTTACATTTTCTGCAAACCAATGCTAATTATGATTAATCTATAAATAAGCGCAATTTGTTTATGTCGTTAGTCTACGCATTGCAGCCTCGAACGAGCACATTACCGTAAAAAAAGATAATTTTATCCATCCAGCGCCAAGGGTAATCGAATCGCTGTGGAAATCTGACTCGAATTGAAACGATGATATATTTTCGCCGGGCGACGCGTTGCCCCGCAAGGTCGTCTCATTGGCGTAAACACCGGCGCGCCGATTCAGTTTCGGTGGCTAGTTCCGCGTGGTTCTAGGTTTCTAGCAGCGGACGCATTAGGACGCGCGAGGGAAACCAGTTTTTCGCGGCGCACGCCTGGCGAAAGTTTTTGGGAAATCCATAAAATCCTCGACTTATCGAGGCTATCGGCGCGATGCTTCCTCCCCCGTTGGACGTGATTTAACGCGCGGCTTCCGGTCGAAGATACGTATCGACACCAGTGTCACCTTAAGCCGGCCTGATCGATCCAATATTATTATATCTGCCTCGATCCTCGGGCCACGCTCTTTGAATAAAATATAAGCCACCGCGAGCGTACAAAATATCTCGCGTCCCTGTATCCCGATTTTCCATCCAAGGTTCGCCGAGTTTTGTGTCTCTCCGCCGGCGTTAGCATCGATTCCACGAACTATTCCTCTTGCTCCCGACCTGCTTGGCTTCATAATCCCCAATAAATATTCCAGTCGAACCGTCAAAAGGAGCTTTGATGTCTCGATAAGACGCGCCTCGCGGAAAGTGTAAGTGAGATCCGTCGATTATAACGCCATCTCAGATTTCTCTCGGCGAGCTAGATTGAAAATGCTGGTTCGCTCACGAAACACCATAATTTCCACAATCGACGCCTCTCTCGTTCTCGATATAATTCTAAACTCCATTTCAAGTTTCGCGATCGATACGGCACGCTGCACGAAAGGCGCCGCACGGTGATCTGGAAATCCGCTTTCTCCGTTCAGAAGTCGATTTTTCCAAGATCGATGTAGGGGCAAATATTTCTCTGCTATGAGGTGATAACTCTTTAACGAGTTAGCTGTAACATATAATATGTTATTCCTTCATGTCGAGTATACTCGACAAAAACAGCTAACATTATGAAGGATACGTACTTCGATATTCTTGATTAAATTATATATTTTATAAAAGTGTCGTATTTGAACAAAATACGAAGAAATTCAAACATATACCGTATAATTACAGTACAATTACACACCTTCAGCTGTACAAAAGCTCTACAAAATACTTAATATTAATCGTTCCAGTTAATTCTGTCATGACTTGACAGCGGATGTTCTGCATTTATGGCGAAATCGACTAGTTGCAATTTAAAAGTATTAAAGGAATTTTGAAACGTGAACGAATCGAGCAATTTAAAGCAGAAGTGTAGTCAGTCAATTTTTTGCTTGATGTAACATTATTAAATCATTTTAAATCATATTAAACAGTGTCGATATACAGGGTATCCCAAAATTATTGTACAAGCGGAGAATGGGGGTTCCTGAGGTCATTTGAAGTAACTTTTTCCTTAGCGAAAGTTCAATCCGCGGCTCCGTTTGCGAGTTATTAACGAAAAACGCTGACCAATGAGAGGCGACCTCGGTTGGCGCGAGGCGGTCGAAGCGCAGTTCTGCTGATTGGCCCGGCCGCCTCGCGTCAGCTAATCTCGCCTCTCATTGGTCACTGTTTTTAGTTAATAACTCGTAAACGAAGCCGCGGATTGAATTTCCGCTGAGGAAAAAGTTACTTCAAATGACCTCAGAAATCTCTCATTCCTCGCTCGTATAATAATTTTGGGATACTTTGTATACAGTATAATTACAATATAATTACACACTTTTCAAAGAAATTGCAACAGCTGACTGGTTAAAGAACTATCAAATCCAAAATATTATTCTTCCTAGATAATTCTGTCATGAGTAGATATCATGCATTTATGGCGAAATCGAGCGCAATTTAAAAGTATTAAAAGAATTTTGAAATGTGAACGAATTGCGCAGTTTAAATATTCGGGGCACTAGTTATTGCGTTTTAAATGAAATAGAATTGATATATTTTTTATTAACAAAGGAATCGCATAATATAAAAACATAAAAAGGTAATAATAATTCAATTTAATTATTGGGTCTCGAACAGTCCCACCGTGTCACATGGGCCATATTTCAAGGTAGGTTTAAAAATGTTCCACCATGCAGTGGCGTGCATAAAAAAAAAGATGGGACATTTTTAGTGCCCCAAAGAGTTAAAGCAGTCAAGTTTTTGCTACATTGATGTGACACTATTGAATCACATTAAATCATATTAAAAAGTGTCGACACACGCGTCTTTTAACTTCTGGCCATGAATAGCCGTTCCCCGGATCACCGTGAATTGGAATCGTTCAACCTATCCGATACCTTGAGCGAACAGCTCGATCGAATATTTATAAAACCTCGACGTGAACCATGAATCTCCGAAGTCCCCTAAGGTTGCCCCCGAGGCGTCACACGTCCGCTGTCGCGTCGCGGAACAAATCGGGCAGCTTGAAAACCAAAAACATTAGAGCAAACAAACATATCCTACGAGAGACAGCGTCCGAGTTTCGCGGCGACCCTGAATCTCTCAGACTTTCCGCTTCGCGAGGGGGGCTAGCGCTGGCTGGTGCAGGATAGAGTGATTCCATAACGCGAGGAGGGAGATCACCTAATAATGCCGAGGGGGTGGGGCGGAGGGGTGGGCAGAGTGGAGGGCAATAAATCGATTCCTCCGGGGAGAAGTTGAAACTGTCATCGTTTGTTCTAGATGGAGGAGAGGCCTGAATAATCGGCCGGCTGATCCCGGGGATTGCGAGTGTGGTACAGCCGGTCGTAAAGTCGGACCTGAAGAATCCATAAACCTGGTCCGGGGCGGAGCGGATCGGTGCCGCTGAATAAACGCAACCCCCGGGCCGGTTTCTTGGTCAATTTGGAGCCGATACCAGGGATGGGGCGCGTTTTACGAGCCGCCGTGCGTCACGTTACACCGAGGGGCCGTGTAACGGACCCCGAAGGGTCGATCCCGCGCCGCGGCCACCTGACGCGTCCCTGAAGAAGCCGCCCAGCCACTGAAGAAGCTGCCGAGGTCTCGAGCGGCGACTATGCGGAGCGGGGACCGACGTGGCAGCTGGGTGTCCGCGCTACTGATCAGGATTGCGCGCAGCTCGAGGCCAACTGCACCGGCTAGGCGATGCTTCCACGCCAGTGAACCGTCCATTCGTCCTGGACCGCGAAAACGCAAATGTAGCACCGACCGGACGTAGCCACAACGACACCGGAACCATGGACGGCAACCTGACCGCGTGGACGGGCAATCTGACCGCGATGCTGCACCAGGTACCTTGCAACGACAGCTTCCTCGGCTGTCTCGACGACTGCGGCTCCGGCCTCTTCGGATTCGATCACCTCTGCATGGTCGAGAGGGGCAGCTTCACCTCGTCGATGACGTTGCTCTGCCGACCCTGCGACTACACTTGCGACGTGAACGTCTCGCTGATACTCAGCGGCCTCGAGAGCATCGAGGGCGTCTTCTTGTCCAGGATACCGAGGTTCAGGGAGTGCAACGAGACCGCGTTCGGCACTCAGGTAAGACGTTCCCCGTTTCCCACGGGTCACCGACGATCTCTTCATCGGCTTGCCCTTGCAATTCCGAGATTAACCGTCTTGATGTTTGTCTCTGTAACGTCGAGCTGGCGGAGTCTCGTTGCTTCTGATTTCGACTGATTGATGTGGCAATCCAATCTTCGCTGTGATTGTTCTAAAGTTTGCTATCCTCGCCGATTTGAGCTACCTTGGAATATATTATCAAGGTTATTTTAATATTTTTATACCTGTTTTGTCGATATTTATTTTTTAATATTTATCTTAATATTATTTTAATATTTTAATATTTTGATATTTTTTAATATTTCAATATTTTTTTCTATATTTCAATATTTTAGTATTTCAATATTTCAATGTTTCAATCTTTATTTCAATATTTCAATATTTCAATCTTTATTTAAATATTTCAATATTTCAATCTTTATTTCAATATTTCAATATTTCAATCTTTATTTCAATATTTCAATATTTATTTCAATATTTCAATATTTCAATATTTATTTCAATGTTTCAATGTTTCAATATTTCAACATTTCAATATTTCAATATTTATTTCAATATTTCAATATTTCAATATTTCAATATTTATTTCAATATTTCAATATTTCAATATTTATTTCAATGTTTCAATGTTTCAATATTTCAACATTTCAATATTTCAATATTTATTTCAATATTTCAATATTTCAATATTTATTTCAATGTTTCAATGTTTCAATATTTCAACATTTCAATATTTCAATATTTCAATATTTCAATATTTCAATATTTTAATATTCTAATATTTTAATATTTTTGTAAAGCTTCAATATACAGTGATTCTACATGACAAAAATAAGAAACAAATTTGGTATAACATTTTTTTACCCGTGCATCGGTTTTCAAGAATATCGACTTTAAAGTTTATTCATCTTTGTAAAGGATTTATTTGTCGTCTATTCTTCTACCGCGGTTGCCTCCGTCCGAGATAGTGTTTACAAACATTAATTGGTCCCCCGCTCCACCCAGTCACGTCTCTTGCTCAGCACGTAACTTAGCCAATAATAATCAAAAGTCTGAGGATTGGAAAAAGGTAGGTGAAGCGAGCGACCGATTCCCCTTGTCTCTTGCGTCATTTAGTTTATGCGTAGTGTTTCATTTTCACGTTTCCCGATATTTCCTTCAGCTTCTTAACGTTCTACGTTAAGTTGTTGCAATTTCTAATCAAATAAAATGTAATTTGAAGCTGTGGTCAATTTGATCGTGAGAGAGATTAAGCTCGCCCTAGATCTAAACCAAATTGAACCTAGACCTCACTGTAATTTAACGTGAATCGAAACCGAACCCAGACCTATTCCATTTCTTCGTTTTATTGGGAATTTCTAGTCCTGATCTATTTAACGTTTGACAATGTGTTTTGTGTTTAAGGAAATACTTTGTTCAAATGAAAAGTGATAAAGAAATTGCATAAATTAAGGCTGGTTTAGATCATGGGTTGACCACTACAAACCACAATATTCTACAGTAAAAATAATACAGTGTAATGCTGACCATATTTTCTTACACGTAACGCATAGTCGAAGATTACTTATTATATTTGAAAGTCACTCAAATCGATGAGCAGTGCAAAATTTTTGATAATAGCCATTTTCAATAGCGTTTATAAATGTCGAGCCGAGCATAGGAAATTAAACTATCTCAAAAGTAAAAAGCTATCACTTTTCAGATTTTACTCTTAATTTCAGATTACAGATTTTAGGTCTAATTGAAAATAATCCTCTCGAAGTAGAATAATTAGAAATATCGAAGTACATTGAGAACCATATGCATCTGCTTCTTGCTAAGAATTCCGACATTTTTTGGGTCACCCTAATGTACTTGCTTTTCAAGCTTCATGCTTCTATGTTCCTAGTGAGACTATTTGAAGCGTGCATTTTTCTAATTATGACAGAAGCCCCAATTAACTCTTCTACACGACGATGTATTTCGTTGTTGCCCATATTTACAACCAGCGTTGAAGGCAACGTATATCGTTATTCAGCCTCGAAAGAATTAAAATTGGAAAAAAATATATTCTGTGTTATTTTAACTGAAAACATTCCTCTAAAAATTTATAAGTGTTACAATGGCAATAAGAAGAATAACAATGATAACAATAAGGAGTTTTTGAACAGATTCCACAAAGTATCCAAGTGCTTGTAAATAGTGGCTGTATAGTGTACAGAGAGCAGGCACGTTGAATTAACAGTTGAACAAACAGTGACTCGAACCCTCAAACAAGCTTTATGCACACACAGCTGCTATTCGCTTCTTCATGGTTTCGGCTCTCGACTGGTTAACTTCACGAGCTATGAAAAGAATTCTCGCTGGCAAAAACGCTCTATTTGCACATACCATGATTTCGTCGTTTGATTTCGCTTATTTCATTTCAATGCTTCGCTGAACATTCTTCTATCTCATTGCGAATAACAGTTCATTATCCGAGAAATTTAACGTTCTATCAATATCCGTCGCGCCAGCCTTTATAACAGAACTTTCTTACTAATCAAATACATCATACTGCGACTTAATAGAAAACATAAATATTCATATTCGTTCCATTCAATCTAAATTCCTCGTTACGAATCCAAGTCGACGTTGTAAGTCAACGGGGTAAAGTTTCAGCCGTATTAATTACTTTCTTTCAATCGCTTTGAAACTCCGTTTGATTTTCTGAAAGAATTTTTAATGGAATATCAAGCGAGTGTACACTGCCGCTTAAAAGTATTACCATAGTGTATCAAGTATATTAAAGTATACAACCAATTTTGTAGAAACTACGAAATATAATGTGTATTGTTATTGGGAAAAAAAACGGCTAAATTCTATTGTGAATGTGTGGAGTGTTACCGTCTGCGTTCTCCGCCACATAGATTCTCCTTTTCCGCAAGTAGCCGGACCCGTTTGTTTACATATGTATACACAAATTTCGTCCGTCATTCCAACATCCTCGCGTCTAAGAGACAGAGTCCGCTAGAAAAGCCTTACTGACGAGTCCTCTAGCGGGGCCCAGACGAAACGTTCCCCTTTCTCTCTTTTCCTCCATATTTCACGATCACTCTCATTCCTACGGATAGCTAGAGAACGGCGTCAACATAACCCCCGTAAATGCGTGAATATGTAACGTATCCTTGGTAACATCAACTTGAACAATTCAGGTATTTGAATCCTTTAAATAAATGAAAGTTTACGCAAGAAAAATATTAAAAAAAGAACATTCATCTCTTAAAACATTTACGGGAAGTTTTGCAATCGTTGTGCAGCCCAATTGACAGTGAAGTAATAAACAAGCTAATAACCAGAATGCCACGACTAGTAAATGTGGTTATAAAAGCGCACGGCGGATATATTGATGAGAGGAAGATATAATTGCTTTTTTATTATTATTGATGAGTTATTTGATTAATTATTGGTTAAATGCGATCTCTCGTACTGTGCAAACTAGCATACAGGAAATTTAATCAAGTTTATTAACCCTTTGCCATACTTTGACGAGTCTGACACGTGATGGAGATTTCTAGTAATAACCTGTTAAATTATTAATGTTATTCCGTCCTCTTCAGTCCGAATAAAATTCTGATTTCTCGTCATCGGTATTTTTAAGTGAATTACATTTAAGTGAATATTGTCTATATGAATATAATGAATATAAATTATATATGAATATATATATATGAATATAAATTATATATGAATATAAATGAATGTAAATTATATTTTCTTTTCTGAGAAATTATTACAATCGGAAAGCTTCTAATCATTGTAACTACGAAGAAAATGCTACGGCAATGGGTTAAAAATTTCATCATTGTTTGTTTACATACTTTTTAGCGGCGGTGTAAGCGTCTATAGCGCATTTTAGCCAAAATTACGATCTACGCCCGATCTATCGATGAAACAAAGGTCTAAAGCACACGAAAAGACGAACAGAGCGCAACCTACAAACCGATTTATCTGGAGAAATGCTAAACTCCTGGTTCTGACGCGGGTCGATCCGCGGCGAGATTAATTTATTTGTTGAAGAGTTAATACAATTCCCGACGTATTGTATTAAAAGCAGTAAGAACGTTTAGCGAGTTGCCGGAGAACCGATTACCACGACTTTGCAGGGGAACGAGTCCAATTTGTCTCGTCTTTTTCTCGGAAACTTCGGGGGAACGCGGGTCTCGCGAGGAATGAAAAATTCCGTAACAACGTCGCAAACTTGCGAATTCGTTTACGCGGACGATTAACATTCGTAACGGGAAGTTTCTTGTGTCGCGCGGCGATTACGTCATCGCCGACGTCGTCGCGCGGCGGTTGTTGCATAACTCGCTCGAGAACGTCCGGGGTTGTTTTGAACATTTAGTCGCCACACGAACGAAAATTCATTAATACCACCGGTAACGATGTTTACGGCTCCCCCCCCCCCTTTCCGTAGAAAATTGCGTCAATTAATGCGATCTCGGGATTTACCGCGACTGAAACTTCACGCTGCGTCGAGTATCGAGAGGCGGGGGAGGGGGGGCTGAGAAATGCTGTCCCGCATCAAACGCCATATTCGAAACTTTTAAACGAGACTCGTCACAGAGTACATATCTTGTCATTTAACTCGGCGGAATGAGACGATCAACATTTCGCGATTTAGAAATTAAGTCGCGTTCCAGAGAAAACGCCGAGGAATGTTCGGTGGCCAAGTGTACACCAAGTGGCCTGTATGGTTTTCAACTAAATTCTGCAACAGGAAGTGATAAGTGATTCATAAAAATGAAGCTCTGGAGAGCGAAAGTAGAGGTTTCGGATTTTAAAACGAGATAAGGTATATTTTTGTATCATTTTCGTTTAGGAAGCCGCAGCGGTTCAAAGATCGACGATCTTTCAGGTTGAAAAATACTCTTTTAATTGTGAACGCTTCCTTTGTGTTAGTATTGTGTGTGTGTGGATACAGAAGTAAGGAAAGGAATAGATCGATTTTAATAATATTTTTAATGGGATTAGTAACTTGGATTCGGACGACGAAAACGAAACGTACACCCAGGTATTTTTGATGAGATATTTTATTTTATTTTAGACGAGTGCTTACTGATAAAATAAGCTTCGTTTAATGTTGAAATTGATTTTCCATGATGATATACGATAATCCTAATAATTATAAATAAATCGAATCAGGCTGAGTTCATATTTATTTTCATCAGGTGTTAAATATCGCCATCCAGCACGTTTTCTCAGTTTTTAACACAAACAACTGTTCATAACCTACTATTATAGCAGTCCAAATGTGGAGATTTCATGTATCTAACAAAGATAAATATTTGCTTAAATTTTCTTAGTGTTTGATCTGAACGTAAACAACGAGACTAGTGCAAAGAATGAAGCAATGTTGTAAAAAAATAACTTTTGAAAACTTCATGATGGATATTTCAATCTCACCCCAGTGACAAATGTTTTGCGGTGATTGATAACAATCAAATCTCCAGCCTGATTGAAAATAAATCGTACACCAGAGATTCTTCAAATGTTAAAAATACAATCTTCAGCGTTAAAATCGATTTAAACCTATTCCTTACTTCCTAGCCAACCCGATAGCAGGATACAAAAATGTCGTGGACTATAAACACAATTCAGCGATAAATAACAATATACAATATATTTTGAAAATTACAGAAATGTTTCTAAGAAATTGTTTTCAAACTCGATCTCGGTACTCGAAAATATGAAATTTGATCTGTGAATAAGAGAAACAAAACGACGAACATATCGCAAATATTCGATCATATATATATGATATACATATTGAGCAATGGTTTCTGTAGCGCATGCATTATTAACACGACACTCGGTCCCTAAGGTCTCTTTGATTGCCGAATAAGGCAGCTTTAAAGGTAGCGATCAATTGTAGAGGCTGAATAAGCTCAGACGGTTTCGGGCTCGAATCGAACCTATCTTTTGCCAGACTCAATCGGCTTCGAATACGAAGCAGTTCAAGTCTCCAGTACAGGCATCCCACGTGCTCATTTATTGACTAACCCGACATGCTCAAAGACTCTAGCCACCGCTGCTTCGCTCCAAGGGCTGCGAGTCGAATATCCCTGGCCTTTGCTGGTTGAAAGTCTCGTTACGTTCACAGATCCTGGAGTGCACACCGTCGGAGAACGCGACCACCGAGGACCTGGCAGTTTCCTGCTCGCACCGAGCGAAACTAAGTTCGACTGCGAGAGGACGTCGCTTCGACTGGATCTTCCTCTTCGTCGCGGTGTTCATCGTAGCCGGCGGCCTCGGCAATATATTGGTCTGCCTCGCTGTAGCACTCGACAGGAAGCTGCATAACGTCACCAATTACTTCCTTTTGTCTCTGGCAGTCGCGGATCTCCTCGTCAGCCTGCTCGTCATGCCGCTGGGCGCCATACAAGGGTTTCTCGGTGAGTTCTTCAACATTAATTCTGGGTGCAACGCGAAATCCCCATTGTTTCCTGATTCACTTTTTCAAAACGAGAGAGCTTTTATCTTGAGAGAAAGGTTGCCCTGCAACAGCAATTGCGCGGCTGCATTTTACATGAAATTACGTCCACGAGTTTCACAAGTGGAATAATATACAGAGTATCTCAAAGTTATGGTACTTCCGAGAGGTTCCTGAGGTCATTCGAAGTAACTTTTTCCTTGGCGAAAATTCAATCCGCGGCTTCGTTCACGAGTTATCGACGAAAAACACTGACCAATGGGAGGCGAGCTCGAGTAGGTGCGAGGCGGTCGAGCCAACGAGCGGTCGAAGTCCAGTTCCGCTGATTGGCTCGGCGCCAGTCGAGCTCGCCTCTCATTGGTCACTGTTTTTCGTCAATAACTCGCAAACGAAGCCGCGGATTGCATTTTCGCTAAGGAGAAAGTTGCTGCGAATGATCTCAGGAATCCGCCATTTCTGGATTACGATACAATTTTCGGACACCTTGTAGATCAGCGTTCTTTTAGCTTTTCTCTCGCGTATCGATGCTGTTTGTAATGATGTCGCGATCTAAATAAGCGTTTGGTTATCCCTTTAGTAATTGTTATCTTGCTTAAATAAACGTGTCTTCTTCTTTATAAGAACCTTCATATTTCTTCCTTAAAAACTAATTTCTCGACGTTAAACATAGACGTATAGTAACTTCTACACTGGAAAATAAAGAAGAAATCGAATATTACTTGTGGGATTAGCTGATACATGAAATTAGGCACATTTAACAGTATCTTTTACGTGGGAAGTTTATTATAAACACGTCTCTATTTTGTTTATGGGGAAACGTAAAGCTGCCAATTTTATGTAATGCAAGTTATTTCGATGATAGAAGAAGTTTCTAATATAGTCGAATTATGTGGAATAAAAACTTCTAGGAACATGTTATGAATCAAAATGATATAAAGTAATGTTTAATTACTTTACTAGCTTTAGCTATTATTACATGGCAAAGGGAAAATTAGAGCAAACCTATAGATTGATAAACTCTCATATATATAGATTAGTATTGTAATGGGAGCCACACACACACATAATCGAACTTCTAAAAGTGTAAACAAATGCAATAGCCATTTGCTTAATAGAAAACGTATTTTTGTTGATAACGTATATACAGAGTGGACCGGAATTTGTAGTACTATCGAGCAGGGGGTGATTCTACGTGAACAAAATAAGAAACAAATTTGGTACAACATTTAAAGTTTGTTCATCTTTCCAAAGAATTCAGTTGTCGTCTATTCGTCTTCTACTTCAGTTGCCTCCGTCCGAGATAGTGTTTACAAACATTGACACTGATGGAAACATCCCGTTTCTACTAAGTGCATAAGTAGTTCGCAACAATGAATGTTTGTAAACACTGTCTCGGACGGAGGCAGTCGCGGTAGAAAAATAGACGACAACTAAATCCTTTAGAAAGATGAACAAACTTTAAAGACGATTTTCTCGAAAACGGAGCAACGGATACAAAAATGTTATACGAAATTGGTTTTTTATTTTTTCACGTGGAATCACCCATTGCTCGGTTGTACTACGAATTCCGGGCCACCCTGTATTTATTAGTGCCTATATTATATTAACTATGCAAAAATCATTGATGATGATGATGATAATAATAATAATAATTATTATTATTATTATTATCAATATATTGATAATAATAATTATATAATAATAATAATAATAATAATAATAATAATAATAATAATAATTATCAATATATTGATAATAATAATTATATAATAATAATAATAATAATAATAATAATAATAATAATAATAATAATAATAATAATAATAATCAATATATTGATAATAATAATTATATAATAATAATAATAATAATAATAATTATATAATAATAATAATTATCAATATATTAATAATAATAATTATATAATAATAATAAAAATAATTATCAATATATTGATAACGATAATTATATAATAATAAAAATAATAATGGGTCCATTATTTCCTAAAATAGTATTATTTTCTCAAAACAATTTCATTCAATGCAAAGAGATAAAGAGCACGGACAAAACACGACTAATCATGACTTACCGTTTCCGCTAATCAGCGGAACACACATGTGCCCGATAAACTTTCGAAACGAGAAGCTCGCATATAAAAATCTTTTCCTATGGTTCAGTCTCTCTTTTTCACGCGACGCTGTCATAATTAGTCGACAAATAAATGGATAACATTTTTGACGTAATCGAAGCCGGAGAATTTCCGCTGGCATAACGAACAGAAGGATATCGACGTTTCAATATCGGATATTTTGCGAATGTAAAAACGCGAAAATTCGATTGACGAGACGGACGCGTCGCGTCCACCAGAAAGCGACTGACACCGTTCCCCATTTGGAGATATCGAAACGAAAAAAAAAAAATGCATCATAGCAGTATCGTGTGCGTGGGCAAACGAAACTCACAAAGGACCGGTTCCCTGTGTGTAACTCTGACTGTTTGATCAAGCTATGTACAGCAGTGAAGCATCAAATATTGAAGCTAATGCTACTCTGTCTCCAATTCTTTGGAGGCAGATGAGTACGCAAATTCGATGCTAAATATCTCAAAACTTATTAATCGTCTGTGTTAACCCTTACAGCACCATAAGGTTGCTACGAGTAAATATTAGTATGTAACTGTTTATTTTAGTAAATTATTTATTTAGTTTATATTTATTTTAGTTTATTTCAATAAAAATCATAAGAAAAATATATTACAATGTGTAGTTTTTTTTGGAATTTTATGGAAAATATTTTTCCCAATGGATTGTAAAGATGACACAAATTATGGTTAGGCTTATTATGCAATGCCTTTTATTTATTGGTTTATTATAACAAAATGTTAACTAAAATAATATATAAATAATATATAATATAATAAATAAATATGAAATTATGAAATAAAATTACTATACAAAATAACGTGCTAATTATGATATTCTGCGAAGCCAAAGATGAACATTGCGCATAGTACATATATTATGCAACGCGGCGTTTAGCACAATTTGCACATCTTTTCATTTTTTCCGCTTTTTTCATATCGTGTGCTGGAAAATGGCATTTTGTACCAAGAATAACCAATAATTAAATACGACAATCTTAAAATTGTAAAATTGCCAATTTTAAAATGGGGAAAAATGTTTCCCTTAATCGTGAAGGGGTTAACTACTAGCTCCAAAATTTGATGCTCTACAATTTACTTGCAAAGCCTGATCAAAAAGTCGGAGTCGTAGATGCGAATATCAGTCGAGTCGAATCCTGCGCGCGTTTTCAGGCGTAGCTGCGCGAAATCCTCCCGGATAGGATTGTTTACACTGTCTGGATTTGCATAAAGCACGCAGCAGTCTCAAAACCGTATCGGTTTGCGGCATTTTCACGTTTCTTCTGCCGACGAACGATGGTATCCTGCAGACGCCAGCAGCGGTTTGGATGAACGCCAATTCTGCGGGAACAAAGGAGGAGCTATCGGTCGGTGAAATTGAAGTAATTACCAGGATTTGGCAAGTTTCGCGACAACGTGCCGATCCGGTTGACCGCAAAATTTTCCGCCTATCGGGGCTAACGCCGTGCCGGCTGAAAGCGTTTCAAGGTTCGTTCCGAGGAACACGATTCGCACGTGCTAATAAAAATCCCACCTGAACTGATTTATGTCGAGCCCCCTTTCTCCCATGAGTACTGACTCTGGAGAAACGTGGACAATTTACAAGAAATGTTGTACTTTTATTCGTAATATTTAGAAGAATTATGTAACGTTTGTAATCTTAGAATTATTATGAAAGAATCAATTTCTGTTTAGTAAATATATTTGGTGTGAAACAAGTGTGTTATTAACACTAGATTTACGGAACCCGTCGAAATAACGGATCACCAATTTTTTAATTAACGATTATTCATATCGTACAGATACATTTATGAGTTATTTATTCAGTTTATATGTTGCTTACGGCAAATGTTACAATAACACTTGTTGGCAGATAAAAGGCAGCGGCAGTATGTCGGTATACATTAATATGGATACATAGTGATGTTAGAATAAAAATTATGACCTATTTTTTTTATTTCTAATTTTTTGCCACGATTCGAAGGCAATTCGGAGGCCACATGACACGATTCGAAGGCAATTCGGAGGATACGTGCCACGATTCGAAGGCAATTCGGAGGCCACGTGCCACGATTTGAAGGCAATTTGGAGGCCACGTGCCACGATTCGAAGGCAATTCGGAGAATACGTGCCACGATTTGAAGGCAATTTGGAGGCTACGTGCCACGATTCGAAGGCAATTCGGAGAATACGTGCCACGATTTGAAGGCAATTTGGAGGCTACGTGCCACGATTCGAAGGCAATTCGGAGAATACGTGCCACGATTTGAAGGCAATTTGGAGGCTACGTGCCACGATTCGAAGGCAATTCGGAAGCCACGTGACACTATTCAAAGGCAATTCGGAGAATACATGTCACGATTCGAAGGCAATTCGGAGAATACGTGTCACAATTCGAAGGCAATTCGGAGGCTACGTGACGCGATTCGAAGGCAATTCGAAGGCAATTCAGAGGCCACGTGCCACAATTCGACGGTCACGTACCTAGTACCTACCACGTACCTTGTAGCTCCGCGGTTTTTCTTACCTGACTCACACCCAAACAGACCATTTTGTGTTGTCTTCCGGGAATTCGCGTCGCGCGCCGCGTCACACGCTCGACCGACTCCGTCGATCCTTAACACTTCCACGACCGCGCCAGAAACCTCGAAAATTTCATAGAATTAAAATATTTCATTCAATTAAACAAAAATTACGAAGCAAACTTATATGGCATCAATTACTTCTTCAGCATTCGTACCTCTTGCAAATCTTAATAAAATGAAGCAATCATTTTTAATTTTTAGAAATTAGATGTGGAAGATTTCCCCATTCGGTCATCAG